ACAGGACCTCACATTGTCTACTTACCCTATAGTGTTCCTGCCTAAACCCAGAGAAGTGCAGTAGCGAAAACATGGCAATGAAAAGGAAAGTTTTAAGCATTGAAGAGAAAGTTAAAGTGATTCGTGAAATAGAAAATGGAAGGAAAAAAGCTGATCTATGCCGCAAATTTGGTTTGGTGAATTCTAGAGTACAAACAATATGGAGAATCCATATTAATTCCACGTTAATGTTACATTAGTCTGTACTTAACTACGTATTTCACTAAAAAATGCAACATTTTAACTCGGTTTTTGGTAGATTTTTACGTGACTAACATAAGGCTACTGTGGAAGTGCCCATTTCGGTTACAACGACATTCGTTTATAACGACACTATTTTTAGGTCCCTTTGATGACGTTATAACCAAGTTCTATATATTTAAAGATCATCTATACAACTTAGGAGCAAGGATAGCTCAGTTGGTAGAATGACTAGGCTGTGGGCTGGATTACCAAGGAACTGGGATTGAGTTCCTGGCAGGGGCAAGGGGTACAGTATACAGGGTGTGATAGTGATGTGGAGGACAAATATGGAGATGAAAACAAAGAGCTTGCTCACCTTTGCCCAATTTTTAAAGTAACTTGGCAACACTTGTCTCTTCGGTTCTGTGTCGCAAGACCTGACTGGGATCAGCTCACCCCACGCTCCCCATCATCTTGCATGGTGTTCTTCTGAGTGGTTGCCACCAACCCTTAAAAAAAAAAAAAAGGAGAGGTTATAATTCCATGTTATTTTCAGTCACATGTCTTCATCTGTTCTGTTTGTGTGATCTACCACTTGTTTACAATATGAAAAAATCTCTTTAACTGTGTTATCGAACTTCATTTTAGCATATATTTTAGTAAATATTTTTATCTAAAGATGTCTGGAATTATATATCCACACTTCCATATTTCTTCACAATGTGATTATTCACTGAGACTACATTTCTGACCCTATAAATCCAGGTAAGATTCTGAAGTTCTCATTTCTGCAGCTTCAATTCTTCCTTTATTTCTCTTATATGTGTTTTCCTACTTAATTATTTATGCCCTTTTTGTTTCTTACTTTGTAAATATGAAACACTATGTATGTACTTTGTTGTTTTGCATTTGTTCTGTACAGTATGTATGAACTGTGTGAATGCTCACTGAGGTGAAACTTTGTTGAATAAAATGTGAATGTCAATTTTGAAGGGTTCTGACAATGGTGTGTACCATTCAGGAGTACTCTATTTGTGGACTTTAACCATCATCAGGTATTGTAAAGAACACATTATCACAGAAACTGGATCTGATTCTGTCCTCACTTGAAAGGGTGGGAGACACCTACTGTGTTGGATTCATATCCATTGATCAAGTATTCTAAAAGTGCAGTTGTGTAATTTTTCATCTTCTGCAGCACCTTCTGTCTGGTTGATAAAGAAGAAACCTGCATGGCTGTGACAGTTTACAATCTTGCAGAAGGAAAGGGTGTTATCATAGGTGACTCAGTATCTATCCCAGAACCTTACCTCACCAAAGTTCACTTCAAGTACAAACAAAAGGTGAGACGTTACTATTTTTTATGTTTTTGAATGTAGGCTTAACTTATTTATTTTATGTCACATTGTCCAAAAGGGATGGGCTCTCTTAATTTTGCTGTGTTCTGTTATATTAGAATGGGGTGTTCGAATTATGGATCTCCTCCCCAATGTTTTATCACTCTTGAGTCCAGATATTCTCCTCAGAATTTTGTTTTCAAATCTCTATTGCAGTTCCTCCACTAGAGTGAGAGACCAGTAACTTGATTAATATATTCTTGTTACTTCCCAGGAATGGAATTTTGACTCTATACGGGTGGAGAGTCCATTGGTGCTTGTGGTAAATGGTCGCAAGCTTGGACAAGATCAGCAAGCAAGGGTACAGCTGTCATATTTAAGAAAGAGTGAATGAATTCGGTGTTTGTATCATAGTCCACACCAGGTGCTGTCAATGTAAATGACTAACTAACAGTATTTCTGCAGAGTAACATGGATCATACATTGCATGTACCTGTGTGTGATAGTCTTCCAGGAAGTGAACCCAGTGTTTACTCTTTGATTGACTGCATACTGTGATAAGCGATATTTGGTATTGTGGCTTCCGATGGGCCTACTGTGTTAGCCCCTAAGTAAAAGTGTGTGTGACTGCAGCAGAATTTGGAAGAAGGCTCCCATGGCCTGTTTCATTCACTTGAGATACTGAGTAGAACCATGAAAACCTCAGTTGGTGTAAACAGTATCTGAATCAAAATTGAAACTGTGTACCTGCCACATACAAGGGAGGTCTGCCTGTTACCTCACCTGAGCAAACATGTCTGATATTGTTTGTTGTTTGATTTTCAGTATCATCTTCAATCCACAAAGGCATCCAAACTAAGGATATTCCCTGAGATGTCACCTCATGCTATTTCAAAATATGTATGGTATATGTACTGTATATATTGTTTTAATCTGACTGCTAGCTCTGATGTACACAGTATTTGTTTATTTGTGTTTATTTAATGATCCTGTCAGTTGCTCATTACACAGTGACAAATGATAGGATAATTAATTGGAAAGGATGTGGAAGGGTGGGGGGGCTGAAGTAATTTTGGTTTGAAAAATAAAATATCAAAATGCATCCCAGAAAAAAAATATTACTGGGTTTCTGGACTTTGTCCATCATCATGTATTCTGAATAGAACATAATGCTTCAGAAACTGGATCCATTTCTGTTCTCATTTGAAAAGATTGGGAGACACCTACTCAGGTGAAGAAGCTGATCTCTGCCATTAAACCAGTGAGGTGGAACCTCCCAAGTTTATCACCTGAGGACAAACCCAGATTAGCAGTTGGAACAAAATTCATACATCTGTTCACATCATTCTGACATGGAAGATTGAATTTGATTACTAATTTTTGTATGCCAAGTAAAGGGTGCCTTTGTTTTAAATTGGAGTACACCGAAGGTTATAGAACAGTGATATTTTGTTCAAATTTCTGTATTGACTTGACTTTTTTTCAGTGACATACATTTATGCAGAAATCTTAGAATTGGTCTGACACTAGGTTTTTCATCTTTAACTAGTTATATTTCTTGACGTATGTCTTGACTGATTGTGATTATGACATTTACTATGCTACTGTTTTGATAACCTGCATTAATTCCGTTTAGTTCTATATTTCTTTAAATGTTTACTCAATAGTGGAGAGGCCAATTAGAAAGTAAACATGAAAAAAAGAAGGAAACAAACAAATGACAAAAGAAGAAACAAGGCAACTTGTGTCATAATAGACAATAATAAAAACTCGGTAAGCTCAGTTGTGCCAACCATTATGTAATGAGGGTAAAATATATATACAGACATTCATATGGATTACAACTAATATTTTAATAAATAAGAAAGTGCCATTAAGGAGTCAGAATAACTTATGACAGGCTACAGACTGGGTGGCCAGGTGTTTATTGTTTGCATACTGTTGTATGTCATGATTTGTCAAACTCTGGCCATTAACACAACAGATATCTCAAAATAAACCAATCTAATTGTTTACATTGATTTTATTTAATAACTACTACATGTTTCTTTTATCTGTTCACATTTTGGACCATCCTCAGGCAGTTTCATTAAATATATCTCACATTATTGAAATATCCAAATATAAATCATTATAATCACCATAATATATGCAATTATTACAAAAATTGTAAAAGCAGCCTGTCATTGTCACTGTCATTGAATGGTTAATTGAGGATAGGGCATGCTATGTAAATAATGAAGAGGTAAGTCTTCATGATTTGACATGTGTGGGCAAAATGCAGCAATTTCAGTGCAGGTGCTACCTATATTTACTGCTGTAATTACGGGCTAATTAAGTATAAGGTTTATCTCTTGTTTTTAGGCAACATAACACAAATGACATTAGAATTACAATATGTAGGGATTGCATACTTATTGCTGGTTACATAAGAATCTTAAAAGACACCTTTTGTATGGGCAACATTAAGTGCCCTTAAGCTAAAAGTCAGATGTTACAGATAGTTATGGCTGTCGTTATATTTAATTCCCTTCTTATATTTTGGGAAGCATGAGAGACATAGATATATTGTGTACAGGTAAAATGAGGGGTTTCTAAGTGGTGACATGAATGATACATATAGTTACCACTGCCACTAAAGGTCTAATATTGTGTAGATTATTTTTCCTTTTGGGGGCTGGGGGGGACTCAGGGACATATATACACATTTATAATGGGGCAAACTGAAGAGATTCATGGTGTAAACCTGAGGCGCATGGAATTCAAGCCCAGTTACATTGTGATGGTGCAAGCCTGCATGGCAGCAGTGTGACTAAGCCTATTAAATGTAAGAACCACTTATACAAACTGTGTGTGGATTAAATGAGGCATTTTTATTTCATAAGACTCATAGTTAATCTTACAGCTGTCACACTCAGTAAATGGTTGTGTGTATTTGTATGGAGTGAAGTAAAAGTAAGTAAATGTATCCCTGTAACAGGCCGTGAAGGCCCATAGGGTTGTGAGACGTTGAGGTTCCCACATTTTCTAGACACTCGGCTCATAGATGGTGGTAAGGTTGTCAGCCCTATGCGCCGGCCACCCTGTACCCACAATAATATTCCTGGTACTTGTTTCTGTTAGAGGCTGAGTCGACCCCAGGGCCATAGTGCGGTTGGAAGGATTAGGTAAATTGAAAAAAAATCCCATGACCTCATCGGGATTCGATCTGTGACCTTCTGGCTTGTAGCATAGTGCCTCAACCAACTACGCTACTGCGTGCCCCCTGGTTGCATGGAGTGGATGACACATGGTACATATAATTACCAGTTTTATTGAAGGGATGTTTATGTGTATGGAAACTCATGTTTATTGTGAGATGTGTAAGCAAGAATCATTTTTCTGAGAGCAGAGTGATCCCCATGACACGTATGCCTACAAATACATGTCAATTTAATCTGTTATCCCTAATGTACACAGTATTTATTTATTTATTCATGGCTTATTTAATGATGCTGTCAATAGCTCATTACATATTGACAAATAAGAGGATAATCAGTGCATAATGAATTGGAAAGTATGTGGAAGTGAGTATTAGGTATTTGACTGGCATGTGCCCCCAGTACTTATGAAGATGTGATGTTTCACAGGAATACTTGCTTGGCATACACTTTGATCCTGAAGATGGAAGCAGTATGTTCCTCTGAAACGCTGGTACACAGCATCATATCCTAGAAGACATGACTTTTCACTGGCTTCCTGTTGGCTGTGGTTTGGTTATGAAGGGACAAACATACTTTGCATGTGCATGTCCAGATGGAGTGCACCCTACTTTCCTATCCAGTGGGTATCAGGGGCTCTTTACAATGGGGGTAAAACAGCTAGAGCATTGAGCTTTCACTCCACAAAACCTGTGTACCTTTGTGACATAGGACTGAGCCTGAAGGACAACAAACATGTCTAAGGGGTTTTCTTCTGTATATCTGTATATATAAAATTCAGGCCAATTCTCAATAAGGAGGACACAGTTTTAGCTTTCCTCTTTACTGTCCAGTCATGAATCACTGAAAGCATCTGATACCTGTTACAGTCTGCAGAGCCAAAGCACTTGGGCCCATTCTGTGGAGGTTGCTGCAATGTCATGAAAAAGTTACATTTGGTGATTAACCTTGAGAAACTTCTTAGGAAAAGTGATATGCATCATACATACTGTATTGATAATGCTGTACCATTATAAGTGGCAACTATAGCAACAATTTATTGTTGTATCATACTGTACTAGTGGAAAGGAGAGATGTGATCGCAGTTGGTATAGTAACTGGCTATGGGCCGGACGACTGAGGGGTCGGAGTTTGAGTCCCGGTAGGGTCAAGAATTTTGTTTACTCCACATCATCCACACCAGCTCTGGGGGCCACCCAGCCTCCTATCCAATGGGTACCAGAGGCTTTTTCCCTGAAGGTAAAGTGGCAGGGGAATGAAGCTGACCTCTCACCTCCAGCTAGTGCCGAGGTCAAGAAAATTTGGAACTATACAACTTTGCTTTACTTACCAGTGGGAAGGGCATGTTGAAATTCAATGGGGAATCATTTGTTTTGTGTCTATCCATTACCCCTCTCTTTCTTTGCTTTATCCCTTTTGTACCTTTATATGCATCTGTCCCTTTATTAAAATAGTGAATGGAGTTATATTTTTATCCTTCAGAGTGCACAGTTTTGAACCTACAGTTGCTATTTGTCTATGTGAAAATCTTTTCATCTCTTATGGAGTATGATATTAAAATATAATCCAACAATATCTATTAATAAATCTAAAGTTATAGCCTTTCAAAGTAAATGTCATATAAGATCAAAAATTATAACCAATCAAATCACAGAATAAATTTGAAATATATGTGATGCAGTTGTCATGAAGATCTGCAAAACAACTACAGACATTTAAATATATTACAGACTACTGGATTTTTTAACTTTGTCCATTATGAAGTATTCTAAAAAAAACAACATTTTAGAACCTGGATCTGTTTCCATCCTTGAGTGAGGGGATGGGAGACGCCTACTATGTTGCGTCTATTAGAAAGAGGTAACCTCAATCACTTAATTTAAATTATGTAGAACCATACAGTGAGCTCATAAATGGCCCAAGTGAGACATTAATAAAAGTGGTTCTGTACACTGTTTCAGCTGAAGCAAGCAACTCCACCATTTTCAGTGAATTATATTTAAAAAGATTAAATATAAATAAAAGTATAAGTAATAGCATGAATGGATCCAAGCAGAGCACTTCAACAGGCCATAATCTACAGACATACTGGACTTAAAAAGCGCCAGACAGCTTAGAAGATGGGATTATGATTTACATGGATTCGTGTGTGATCAACACAAAATGGGCCATGCTGTAGCTCAGGCTGATAGTCGCCGGCTTCCTGTCATGGCTGCTTGGGCTCTAACCTGGTTCAGGTC